ACTCTGAAGTTGGATTTTTTTTATGAAGAGAAAAAAGTAAATTAAGTGAATTTAAAACAAAATTTTGCTAGAAAAAAACCAGTTTTTTTAAATTTAATCTCAACTAAAATGTTGAAAAAGAACTAATCTCAACCAAAATGTTTTTATTTTTATTTTTATAAAACCTCAACCAAAATGTTGAACCTTTTTCCAAGAACTTGATTTGGCAGATTCTACCCAAAAAAAAAAAATTGCAGTTCAATTAAACCAATTGTTCGAGTAGAATAAGTAAATCTATACGACTATACCCCATACATTTTCTAAATGTTTTAAAAACGTACCGTACTCTCAAAAAATAAAAATTGTATGTATGCAAATACACGATTTCACTCGAGTAAACCATTTAAAAATCCACCACAAAGGAGAAATCACATAAACTTTCAAAAAAGAAAAAATTTTGAGCACTGTATGAATATCTTGCAGAAGATTAACGGATAATTAGAACGTAAACTGAAAAATATACCATCCTTTCCAAAAGCCATCGCCCTTGGACTTAGTCTCCACTGCGGCTGCCGGAGGATCACCAACCACCGCATCTCTTGTCGGATAACCAATCGGCGGTGGACTTGTGTACGGTCCCGATGAAGGTTTTCCCACTGTGGCTAAAAAATGTTAATTAAATTTAATAATTGGAATAATTGTTGGACATACGAATATCAATCTACTTGAACTAGAAAAATAATAATAATAACTAAAGGACTCGGAGGATTACTGGAAGATTGGTTGTGATCGGATGGATTCATTCTGATAAGTTGAGGAGCTGAGGATTATGAAGAGGAGAGAGTGTTGTGGTTTAAATTTAAAGAAGACGAATATTATGAAGTTTTTTAGAAATAACAACTACAATAGAGTTGGTGATCTATATATAAATATGGACTTGTTTTTTATTACAAAAAAAATTATATAGGTTGGGTATATATAAGCAGGTATATATTGACTTGTTATAAGATTATTGGAGTGGTTGGATTCAATTAAGTATAAAATTTTTGGTACTATATATAGAATCTTATAATATTTTAATAACAATCATACATTTTTTTTTTTGGGTCAAAAAATTTGACTTAATTGTCATCAAAAAACAATAATACATTTGAATTCAATCGTCGTAAAAAAAAAAAACATTATGAAGGTTTTTTCAATGTTTTTTTAAGTTTTATCCAAATATAGTTAGTTTTGTTGGTGACGGTA